AAATTTTACAGACAACCTGATGGCTTAGCCATGGGTAGTTGCCTTTCCCCTTTCTTAGCTGATATTTTTATGGATCACTTAGAATCCACACACATTATGAAAAATCCTGAAATTCTCATTGGTTTCGATATGTTGATGACTGCTTAGTCTTCATATCAGGTAACTCAAATTCAGCTGATCTATTACTCTCTAAATTAAACCAAATCCACCCAAACATTAAGTTCACTATGGAACTAGAATCATCTCAATCTATTAATTTTCTTGACCTTACCATCACCAGATTAAACGACCACTTCGATTTCAGTATCTATAGGAAACCAACACAACTGACCATATCATACCTTTGTTTTCTAACCACCCAATGTCACACAAATATGCAGCATTCCATAGTTACATTCACCGATTATTAACAATTCCACTATCACAATCCAATTATCATACAGAAGTTAACACCTTAAACAAATAGCATTCAATAATGGATATGACCCCAACATCATTAACAAACTTATAAATAAGAGACAACTCAAACTATTGAGAGAGACTGCGTTTCCCAGAGACTTGACCATCAAAAACTCAGTATTTTTCTTTGCCTTACCTTCAAGAACGTCTTTCTGGAGATCTTAGATACATCCTAAAAAGATCTGTTGAGAATACCCACATTTCTTTCAAAGTCCCGAACAATCTAGGACAATGCTTAACTAATACAAAAGATCCCATCAACTACATGGATCGTAGTGGCGTTTATAAATTACAATGACTCTGATTGTGATGCTACATATATAGGTAGAACCTGTAGATCACTAACTTCTCGTTCCTTAGAACACACTAAAAAAGAGAACACTTCCACCTTCTCTCAACATCTTGCACAACATAAACATACCCTCAACATCCCAGAAGACGTCTCTTTGTTACATAATATTCCCCAAAAAAATTTTCTAAAATTAGACCTATATGAAGACTTGGAAATAGTCAAAGAAAAAACAAAAAAGCCCCAATTGTGTTAATCGCCATGTATCTTTCAACCGTGACTTTCAACCTTTACATCGTCAACTTTTTTCATAGTCCACACTTCACAATACTGTCCTATTTTCTTTGCCTTATTTTCCTATACAAACGTCAACACCTTATTTCCTACATAATCTTGTGGTTCTTCAAACACCCTGTTTATACAATATCGTCACACCTTCCTCTCACAAATTTCTGACCCCTATTTTAACTTCAGAACCATCCACATCCTCCATACCAACATTTCACTATCTTATCTCTTCACTCACTTCACTCTTCACTTCTACATCGTTTTCCTGTTAATTTTGTTCTCTTTCATTATTTTCTTGGTCAATTCATATATTTAAACATGTATCCAATAGTTTTAATTTAGTAATCACTTAAACATTATCTAACAATTTATTAAAAAATCTTAATCTACCATATTACATAGAATCCTAATCTACCTTTGTCCACCTTCTTTCGGTCAACAACTTAGTAGCACACTTATACAACAAATTTCAGGTTTCTACAAGCTGAATTTAATACCACCTAAATAGATTTTGTCAGGGTGCTAGATACTTTAAGTATAAAGGACCCTATTATCTCTAATTGTTGATCAACTCCTTTTCTCCTTCAACCCCCCCCCCTCCTTTCATTTCTTTTAATTTCATTCTCATCAGTCTCTGAGGAACCCAGTCTCTTCGATTTTAAATTCAATCACATATGTTACTACTTCAATTTCTTCAGCCTGTAGATTTCCATCTTACTAAACTTAATTTTATTAATTCTTCACCATAGGAGCATTCCTAAATAAAGTCATTTAAACATGAGGTCTTATATTAGCTTCAAATATTTGTTATTTAATTTTTACCTTGTCCTAGATGTGTTAAACATAAAAGGATAAATTCCACAAATACAAGCTAACCCAAAAATAAATACACTTTAGACCACATTCCATACGACGAAAAGCAACATAAGTTGCCTAAGGCACAGGTCATTATATTAATCATGACTATAAAACCATCATTGATTTGACATCTTTTATACCCTAAATTAATAAATAAAAAGTTTTTAAATCCCAACACCTATATTGTTGTTATTTTTAAAATCATCAAAACTTGTTTGAATCTTTTGGCTGTAGTAATACTATGTACAACTTTTATAGTTTTTGTTGCATTGACATTCTGTTATCTTCATCCTTCAAAAGTATCTTGTCAATCAGTTCCACGTTGTTCTCCGAGCGCAGAGGTTGCCTCTCGCCCGGCTCTGGAACCCATTTGAGCCATGTGTTACCTTTGGTCAAATTTAATTTAATATAGAACATCACAGTTATTTTATAACCAATGTAAATAATTTCATAACTAAATGTAATTTAAAGGGTTTTCACCCTAATATTTTGGTGGCTCAGGCATTATGACCTAGTAAGTATAACCATCTTTTGCTTTTCAACCTTAGTCAAAATTTCAAAATCTCGTTTGTTTTAACTAAATGGTTTATACTTATTTTTTAGGCATTTTTCGATTTTAATAACCTGATGATGGACTGTTTAGTCCGAAAACGTTTGTTCTATTGATGTGGCCCTTTTAAGGGTTTTTTTAAATAAATATACCCACTTACAAAGATTAACCTCTTTTTGTTATACGTGGTATACAGCCAGCTACAGGAATTTTTCCTTGTGGATTTTGTTCGAGAATGGCTAGAAGAAACTGATGTTAATGTTCTTCCGTGGCCTTCCCGTAGTGCAGACTTTAACCCCGTCGAAAATGTGTGGGCAGAGTTAACAAAGAAACTAAATGAAAGAAAACCTTAGACCACGGAATAGAATTGAATTATGGGAAGCAATTGAGCAGGCATGGGAAGAGCTTGTTAACTATAACATGAGGGGATTGGTGCTATCTATGAACAGAAGACTGCAAAATTGTATTGACAAGAATGGGGCTTCCACCAAATATTAAATTATTATTTATCATTGTTTATCGTTATTTAATATAAAATAGATTTAAAATAAAATGCATATTAAAAAAAAGACTTCTTTATTTTCGTTATTAGGATCATAATCCATTTATTCAAAAAACTGTTTTCTATATTTTTCATTTTGTAAAATATTTTGATATTTTAAATTTTAATCTACCTATTCTAGCTAGTACACCACTGGCAACGTCACTTTGACGTAAAAGGTGCGTTTAAACGAAGTAAAAATTTAAAAAATGGGCTCCTAGATACGTGAACCTGTAAACTATTCCGTGACCGCAACTGTACATACATCGACGTGACCATGGCGACACAAGGAATAGCGGCGAAAGCAAGAGGCTGGAAGGTTTTTGCCAGACTACACGGAACTGAACATCAATACATCGAGTTCTCGATAACTGGAACGGGGACCACTAACACGGTCCGTGCATCCGGGACGTCGGGGGGCAGATGCGGCGATGGGAATGACTGTGCTCACAGGACACGGGTGTTTTAGGGCCTACCTTTATATAATCGGTAAGGCTGATACAGATGAATGCCTATATTGTGGATACTCGGACACTGTGACACATACGATGTTAGATTGCAGCAGATGGATAGTGGAAGGAACAGAATGGAGAGAGAGACAGGTGTGAATTTTGTTACAGTGAGAGAAATGATTGAGAGAATGATTGAAAATAAATTAGGTTGGATTAACATACACAGTTATATCCGTGCAGTGATAAAAAAAAGGAAGAGGAAGAAAGACAGCTGGACCAACGGCAAAGGTAGAGTAAATGATGCTGAAAGGTGAAGTTAGAACAGTGGGTCACACTTTTTCAGTTAGAATGCGTGAGTTTGACTGTGGGGAAGGAGGAAATGCCCTTCTGAGAATGATGCCGAACTAGGAGTGTGGATGTGTATGAATGGAGAATGAATGAATAAAGGTAGTGCTTCGGAAGTGATGCCGGCCTTACAGCGGCCATTCCGCTTCCGGATCGCTGGATGACAGAGGAGGGTCTGGTTTAGCAGGTAGGCGTTCGGCGTAGACTCAGCGACGAGAGGGCATTTTAAAGTACCTCGGGAACTATCGCCGGGAGTACGAAGAACGAATCCTGCACTAAGGTCAGTCAGGCAGCGTCCTGGACTGAGATGTCTTTTGAAGATTCCAGACACCCCCTCTATAAAGACGAAAAAAAAAAAGATAATAAAATACAAAGTTTTTAACATATTGATGCACACCGGAAAATAAAATAGAATGGCAATGGTATGCCTTTTTATAATAAGATATTTAAATAGAAACAGTTACCGTTAGTTGTCGTTCCATGTGGCCGAAATGCCTTGGTAACGAAACTTTTGACTCTGGACAAATTCGAATGTAATTATAAGTTCGCATTGTTTCTAAATCCCTTCGTGGTGGAGTAAAATATAGTTTTATTGACAGTTATTGAATTATTACACTAAAGTTGTTGTTAAATTCGTCAAATAAGTTTATTGCTCAGTATAGAACAAAAAACTTTGAGTTTTGAAAGCTAGCAAGTATAATTTGAACCGGGTAATTGATTTCAGACATTTACCTCAATAAAATATTAGGTAATAGTTTGCAGGAAGTTGAACAAACTGTAATTAAACTATTAATCGATACGATTCACAATTATACACGGTAAAACTATACGAATTCAGGAAATTAAGATACATGTGAGATTACAAATTAATGTACCTACTAATTTGTGATTGAACAAGTGTATTACGGCAAAAGCTTGAAAATCTTTTAAACGGACCAATGGGTAGATAAACCTTTCTACGTGGTAGGGCGGGAAATTTATTATCACGGCCAAGAATTATTCCTTTAGAACTAGTTACAAAAATTAAACTTATACTGACTGCTTTTATAAAATTTAATAAAATAAACGAAAATTGGACAAAATATAACAGTGATCTTACACTGTTAGTCACTTGTTATACTTACGCATGCCATATAACATTTTATGGAGCTAGTATAACTTAAGTTTGAACAGAATATAAAATATTTTAGTTTATGCAACAATTATAAATTATTGCAGGTAAACCTCCTAGTTACTGGATATCTGGATTTTTCTTTACACAAGCCTTTCTAACTGGTGTTAAGCAAAACTTTGCTAGAAAGTACACCATCGCCATTGATAAATTAACCTTTGATTTTGAAGTGCTTAATGTAAATGTAATGAAGTCGGCGCCAAATGATGGTGCATATATTTATGGACTGTTCACAGATGGCGCCAGATGGGATCGAAACAAAGGTATATTAGCCGAGTTGATGCCTAAAATATTGTATGATAATATGCCGGTTATTTGGATTATACCGCTACTAGCCGAGAAGTATTTCCCAGGTAAATACATAAAGATTTTGATTTCTTCACATTATTACAAAAATATCGTGAATTCAGTTTTAAAAAGAAAAATAGCAAAATTTAAAAATATTGTTTATTAACTTATTTAGTTTATTCAGATAAAATAATTAACGCTTAAAAATTTACAATCATAAATTATACTATACACCAATTATATAATTCTAAGAACAAAGTACGTGTACCTATATAATAAATTACAAAAATTTAAATTCATTCTACTTTTACGCCATAATCTGTTTAGAAAACTTCTCTACATTTATTTCTATTTTTTTTTGTTTTGTATCTACCGTTTTCTAGTTTTCTTCCTTTACTTTTCTTTTCTTCTGCACTTATTTTCTTTGCACGGTTTATTTAGTAATTGTTCCACTTCACATTCCGTCTATGTGAACTACACAATTTTTTTTTAAGAAGAAATTTTCCCAGAAGAATACGAACTGAAACAAAGCAGTTGGTAAGAAGAACAAAAAATGAACACTGGAAGCAGTTTACAAAAAAGATGGAAAGTGGCTTCTACGGTACACAAAAACAAATATGGAGATTTATAAAGAACCAACGGAAAGAAATGGCAGAATTGAAGGAATACAATTACATACCAGCAAACGAATGGGAAAGATACCTGACGGAACTTTTCAAAGCAAAGGAAAATAATAATCAACATAATAACGTACCTAAATTAAGACACGAAATAGAAATAAGTTTTCAGGAAGTATAAATAGCCATAAATTCGTTCAAAAATATAAAGTCACCAGGACCAGACGGAATAACCAAGGAGCTTCTAAAATACGGAGGAGAAAGTATAACTCTAGAGATGACAAAACTTATACAAAAACTAATATTACACTGTAAGATACCAGACGCATGGAGAAACAGCATAATGATACCAATGTTTAAGAAAGGAGATAAAGAAGATCCCAACAATTATAGAGGTATAGCTAAAACAAAAGTCCTTACTAATAAAATCAATAAACTAACCACTTCATCAGATGAACAACAACGATTCAGATCCGAAAGTACAATATCCAGTACAATAAACCTGCATATCTATGTTTTATAGACCTGATAAAGGCTTTCGATCGCATCAAAGTCGAAGACATCTTACACCTACTGTATAAAAGAAACATAACGTATTATTATACAAACCATCGAAAACATCTACATCCAAAATCGAATACAGGCAAAGATAAATGGAAAACTACACAGTGTATACCAGTACAAAGCGGAGTCAGACAGGGTGACACGTTGAGCCCACTTCTCTCTATAATAATGGACGAAATAATACAAGCAGAACGAAAAAGTCATGGCTACAGAATGGGGAACAAAGAAATCCAAATATTATGTTATGCAGATGATACCGCATTAATCACCGAGACAGAAGACGAGCTCCAAAGATTAAAACATATCTTCACAACAGCTAAGAAATACAATATAATAATATCAGCAGAAAAAAACCAAATGTATGACAATATCTAAATACCCACTACGGTGTAAAATCAAAATTGATGCAAAAATAATAGGGCAGGAAGCAAGGTTTAGATATCTGGGAATAGATATAACTAGCTACAGGGATGTTGAAGAAGAAGTACGACAACAAAGCTTAAAAACAAGTAAAGCGGCGGGTTCTCTTAATAACACAATCTGAAAGAACAAACACCTAAGACAAGACACAAAAACAAGAATCTATAAAGCAGCAATTAGACCTATATTAACATACACTGCGGAGACAAGACCTGACACATCTAAAACGAGACGACTGCAAGAAACAACAGAGATAAAAATACTCAGACGAATATCAGGGAGAAGTCTGTTCAATAGGGAGAGAAGCGAAAACATAAGAAGAGCATGCAATATAGAAGACATAAATGGATGGGTGACAAAACGAAAACAGAAGTGGAACAAACACATCAGTAGAATGGCAGAGGATGGAATAGTACAAATTGCATGAGGTAAGTCACCAAATGGACGAAGAAGTATTAGCAGACCAAGAAAAAGTTAGTGCAACAATTTAAACAATTTAGCAAGGCTAATATTGAATAAGAAACAGGATTTAGAACCTGCATTCTATAAGAAAGAAGAAGAAGAAGAAGAAATTAGTAAAGATAGGAGAGGTTGCTCCAGTAAGAAATGTTTGCCTATTATGTATCCTATTGTTAGTAAAAGTCCTTAAAAAGATTCATTTATATTAAAAGATTCATTCATTGTCAAAATACCAAAAATTTAGTAAGCACGTTACAATTACCAACAATTAACAATATTTTTCTTATTATCAATAATATTGTTTTTTCTTTCTTTTTATTACTTTGTATTATTTTTTCTTGATTAAGCTTAGTTACTTGTTTTTGTGATAGCACATTAGTGAGAATATTGCCTTAGAGAGCACAAAAACTCAAGAGCAACTAGAGATTGTGAACATGTAAAAATTTTTTAAAAACATAAAACATCTTAGCTTGGACATCAAATCAAGCATCAGAGATATAACTTCTTCAACTAATAATGGAAAAAAATATAAAAAAAGTGTGGTCCTAGCAAACAGCAAATATCCTGGCTTCGTAACATAAAGGATTTTACAGGACTAGACCTCCCAACCTTAATAAGAAAAATCATGAGATAAAGATGAATTTGCAGAAGTTAAAGCCATCCTCCATTAGAGACGGTGACTAAAGAATATTTTTAAAGAAAATAAAGTCGATCTTACTGAGCCATTTACTCAACTTATACACTACACACAACATTTTAAACTTGTATATCATACTGTATGACTGATATATTACGATGTATAGACAACGATCAGGGGCATATAAAATTTTTATATGTTCATAAAGTTAAACATCTTTTAATTGCAATATTTTTAAGATCAAAGGTTTGGTTGAATGACTATTAATAATTTGCAAGATTAGTAAATTTGCAATGATCCTTTTCACAATGGTCACTTCACAACTATAAGTCTAAATTTTTTTATGATTTCAGGTGGAAGATACGTGTGCCCAATCTATAAAACATCAGAACGAAAAGGACTACTATCGACGACTGGACATTCAACTAATTACGTACTGCCTGTTCTGTTAAATACAGATCTACCAGCATCGCATTGGATAAAAAGAAGTGTTGCCCTATTGTGCCAGTTGAGTTAGTTATATCACATTTTATTATACTTATTGATTTTTCCAAATACACTATTTTTAATACTCGTAGTACATAATTGTAGACAGAAAGTTGAATTTTGGATTAAATCACAACTATGGTAAATTTTTAAGATTTCAATCCACAAGGAAACTAAGTTCCTGTAGCTGGCTATATACCATGTATCACAAAAAATTTGTTTAAAATCCTTTATAAAAGGTATATACCCAATCGGCCAACATCACATCACAAAACGTTTTCGGAATCTATATTCCATCATCAGTGTATCCTAAAAGTATATAACCACTTTAATTAAAGCAAACATGAAATTTAAAATTCTGACCAAGGCTAATTCAAAATTTTGTTAATACCTACTAGGTGTAGGTATGTTTTGAGACACTAAATATTTGGGTAAAACCCGTTAAATGTTATTAATTTAAATTTAGGTTACATTATTGGTTCTTATATAATATGATGTTAAAGTTACAAGTGAAACTAATAACATGGCACGTAAGACTCTACATGAGATTGCTGGTCCTGAGATAAAGTGTCTACTAGGACTTATTTATAGCAACTGATAGAAATGACAAAATAGACATGTTGGGACGGAAGTCGGAACAAAGGAATCCATGGAACACAAGGTATGATATTGCGCATGACAGCTGACTCAGGCGTTTGACGTAGTCAAGAACGCTCGAACCCATTATTTGTAATGGTAGATAGTTAACGAGTTTTGTTGACATTGTATCAATTTACTACGTTTTTTCTTTAGTTAAAGCATTATATTGTCTTAAAAAGTGCCTGTGGTGTTTCCTTACTGCTTAGTTTATTACTGTATAGTAGTTTTTTTGTAAAACTAAAAGTTTTTGATCCATCGCTGTTTGAATGTTTGTTATGTATTAAAAATGGGTTCTTTTAAAAATATTTGGATTAAGTGAATGATGTGCATAATTATGCAACTAGAAAAAATTACATTATAATATCTTTTATTTTGTAGATTAACGAAGATCCGAAACTCATATGAATATATAATTAAAGTTTTAAACATGTCACTGTAAAATTATTGGTATTTTTCTAGACAGCAACCGTACCTGGTTTTTTCATATCGATTTGTTAAGTAAGAAACGACTCAGCCTGCTATAAAATAAGAAGATCTGTTTCAAAGGAAATCAATATAGCATCTTCCAAAATAACATATTTTTCTTTGTTCGAGTCTTATCTTTGATATGGTCTGTCTTTTTGGTGTTCTAGCACCCCACAAGTTTAAATTACAAAAACGAATAATACTGTATCTGTTTCGCCTCAGAAGAACAACACATTACAGAAGCAAGTTAAAAAATCACGGGACTTGAACGCTTATCTCTATATAATATATATATACATATTGTTATGATTGGTTAGTTTTACTTTGATTTTAATTTATTAAGCCAATCAGAATAATGTAACTTAATTGTTATCAAATGTAAAATAAAACTCCTTATATTACCTGCGTTCGATGGAATCAATGATTTTCTAGTTGTCCTTCATCGGGATAGAGAAAAAGAATAATAATAAAAGAAAATATTATATTAAAAAAAATTACGTTTGTTTATTTTATATAAACGAATAAAACAAATATCAAATTCTGCAGTTATCTTATCAATCAGCATACAAGAAAATAAATGAAATTTTTATAATAATAAGATTTTAAATCTACATATATTTATATTATTATTAAGTGAAAACAAATTTTACTTAAACTTTCCTTTACTTGAACCAAAAAAAAAACAAAACAAAAACTTTAAACTTTTGATTAGTCAAACAAAACTCAATTGATGTAAATTGAAAAACTCAAAAGATAAATAACCATGATGTCAACATAGATCCTTCACAAATACCAATTTCAATTGATCAAACACTTACAGCTTTTTTCCTTTCACCAATCGGTTCTTCATGATGTGAACCAAAGTGGCATGATCCGTCTCGATTGTGAATTTAGTTCCCAATAAGTAATATCTTAATTTGTTTACACAAAATAGTACACTGGCAAATTCCAATTCTGTCACACTATCTTTTCTTTCGTGAGTTTTGGTCACCCGAGATATAAAGCATATTGGCACTTCTTGGTCGTTTTGTATCTGTGAGAAAACTCCTGGAAACTTTTGTATTGACGCATGAGTTCGGAATATAAATGGTAGATTATAATTGAAGTGGTATATTTTTGTTCCTTTTGCAAATTCTTGTTTTAATATTTGAAAAGCCTTCTCCTGTTCTTCTTTCCAATTCAATTTTATCTCTTTCTTCAGCAATTTTATTAGAGGAATTTCCTTTTGGCTTAAATCGGGAATTAGTTTTTTAAAATAATTGATCGTGCAAAGAAAACCTCTATGTTTTCAAATTCGTTGGTCTTGGATATTCATCAATAAGCTTGACTCGGTCTTCAGCTAGGCTAACTGTTGTAGTGTCTAATTGAAAACCTAGATAAATTACTTCTTTTTGGAAAAATTGACATTTTTCGATTAATCCAGCTCTGTCCAATTCTTCCAGAATTATTTTTATATGTTTCATATGGCTCTGTATATCTCGTGAAAAAATCAACAAATCATCGATGTAATGGACTATAAAATCTTCGTATCGATTTAAAATAGAATGTAGAGCCCGTACCAATGCTGCACAAGCGCTTTGTAAACCAAAAGGCCTTACCTTGAGTAGTGCCTCTGTAGTGCCACTGTATACAATACCATCAATTGAGAACGCGGTATAGTTTCTACATTTTTCAGCTAAAGGTATCAACCAAAAACTATGCCTTAAATCAATTTTAGAGAATATCTGTGAACCTGTAATTCTTCCAAATATGGCCTCGATGTTTAGTGGTGATTCATATTGTGATACCGTGTGGTTTTTGATATTTCTGGCATCTCAAACATAGTCTCAATTCTCCACTGCTTTTATTTACTATTACCATTGGATTAATATACGGTGAATCACATCGTTCAATTATTTGATCTTCCAACATTTTGTTAATTTCTTCTTTCACCTGTTGTCGATATTTATATGGGATCGGGTAAGTCTTGGATCAAAAGTTTCCCAAGTTTTTTACCTCAAAAGAATGTTCGTACTTTTTTGCCACTCTGTTTTCCACGTTTATTAAAGTTTCGTGTTCTTTTAACATCAGACGCACCTCATTTTCTTTTTCTTCTCCACATATCAATTTTCTTTCTTTTTCCTCAGATTCTTGACACATATTTATCGCACATTTTTCCTCCTCTTTTTCATCAATCTCTTCCTTAAATACCACTGTTTCAATCATAACCTTTTCATTTTCCTTTGTTGACACTATTTCTTCTTCTTCTTTGTAGCTCATCCCTTCTTTTGAGGAATCTCCGGTATTGACTTCCTTTATCCTCTTCTTAAATTTTCTTCCTGTTCTTCTTTGTCCTTGCTTCGTTGCCAAATTCATTTCCATTGTTTGTACTTTTTCCGAATTATCAATTTTCTGTTTCCCATGTTCATTTTCCTGTTCTCCTTCTTTTTCTTCTGTTAGTTTCATCGTATTATTTTTGAAATCTATGACTTCATGTTTTTCTGCCAGTTCGTCCACTCCTACAATCATGTCATGCGACATGTTTGGCATTATTAGACATTGTAATGCATACAGTTTCTCATCCAATCGTACCCTCACTCGTATTCCTTCATTTATCGTTGCCAATGTCCGTTTATTTGCACCCACCAAATTTACCCTTGGTATTTTGTAAATTAAATTTGTCAAACTCACTTCTTCTATTAATTTTCTGTTTACCAATGTTATTTCTGAACCGGTGTCTATTAAAATTTTGATTGGTCTATTTTTGATGAAACCATCTACACATTTTAAATTAACTCGTCCTCTATTTTTTTTTTTTGGTCTGTCATATCCTTTCCGGTTTCCACGGATATTCCTGTTCATTTCGTCTATTGTAATTTCTGTTTTCGGGAAATGCGCGTGTGTTATTTCTGTTATGATTTTCTCGATATCTGTCCTCATTCCATAGCCGATTTCTGAAATCATCATTTCCTCTTCTGTTTTCCCTATATTCGTTTTCCCTCCTCGGAATAAATTCTCGTCTAGTGTAATCCCTCCTAAAATTTTGTCCTCTCTCTCTGTATTCCTGAGTTTCTCGGTGCCTGTAATTTTCATGTGACCTTCTTGCTCTTCTTTCCTGTATCCGCGATGCCCTTATTTGTAGGAATTGGTATCAACTATCGATGTCTTTGTAGTTTTGTAGATTGATTTGATATTCAATTGTGTCATCAAAGTGGCTTGCAATCAACTCTACTAATTGCTCGGATGAATAATTGTATTGCAGATGTTTTGCGTTATTGTACATTTGCAATGCGTATGTTTTTTCTGATATACCCATCCTCTCATGGTATTTACCATTTTGCAATTCCTTGTTTGTCTGGAATTGCTCTGTCTTTCCCCAGAAAAAAATTGATTTTCAAATTCTTGCCAATTTTCAACTTTCTCCACTTTGCTGTCGAACCATAGACTTCCCTCATCTTTGAGATGATTTCTGATCATTTCCTTAGCTGTCTCAAATTTTCCCATGTATTGTATCTTCTTCTTTATATTATTCATGAACGGTACGGGGTGCAGTTTTCTTACATCCCCGCCAAACTGTAATTTTACTTCGCTTTTTCCCTGGATAAACATTTTCCTTCTTTCCCCGAAATTTTGTTCCTTTTTGATTTCCTCCATTTTTCTTTCTATTTCTCGCATGTCTTCTTGTAAAACGTTTTCAAATTGTGTTCCTAATTTTTCTAATTTCTTTTTCTGGACAGTCTTAATATCTTTCATTTTAGTTTCTATTTCTTCTCTCTGCATCTCTAGTTTCCTCTCTGTTTCTTCTCTAACTTTTTCTAAACAGACTTTTACATCATTTTCATATTTGTCCAAACGCTTTTCCATTTTCCAATTATTTTCTTCTAATTTTTGTTGATAGTTTTCCAAACGCTGCTCTATATTCCTGTTATTTAGTTCTATTGCTTGTCTTGTTTCCCGTTGGTTTTCTTCCATTTTGTTTGATGTTTTATCCATTTTTAGTGATGTTTCT